CTGGATCGTGCCGGGCGGCGGCTTGGAGCCCGAGGAGGAGCCCGGCGGCGCGGCCGTGCGAGAGGTGTTCGAGGAGGCGGGAGTCAAAGGGAAGTTGGGTCGTCTGCTGGGCGTCTTCGAGCAGAACCAAGATCGCAAGCACAGGACCTACGTGTATGTACTGACTGTCACCGAGCTGCTGGAGGATTGGGAAGATTCGCTCAGCATCGGGAGGAAGCGAGAGTGGTTCAAGATCGAAGATGCCATCAAGGTCCTCCAGTGCCACAAGCCCGTGCACGCCGAGTACCTGGAGAAACTGAAGCTGGACGGCTCCGCCACCAATGGCAACTCCGTGGCCCCGCAGTCCCAGCCGGCGCCCGAGAGCGCTCCCTAGTATGTACCGCGCCCGTCCGGACCCCTGCGTTTCGCCCCCTTAAGATCTGCCCCGCGGCCGCCAGAGCACCTCTCCTGCCATGTGCGGTCGGTCGGCCGGTCGGTCGGTCGCACGGGCCGGAGCGGGGCTTCTTTTGTTTCCTGGGCTGGCAGACCTCTGAATCGCGTTTGCAAACTGTCTCTCTCGGTTGCCAGGCAGTTTTCCGACAATTTGCACGTTTTTCAGATGGTGACACCCTAGAATGTTCAGGCAACCCTAAGGCGCGCGGGATTTCCAGTAAAGGTGCCTCAGCCGAGGCTTGCCCGGCTCTTGGGGGAGCGTGGGGGTGGGCGGGGGAGCGCCTCCTGATGTTTGCTTGCCCCCACCCCTGTGCTCCCGTTCTTCTCCTCCCCCATGTCACTGATGTTTGTGCTTGAGTGTGCGTGGGCATTGTTGATACTAGGTTTGTGCCCCCCCCCCCGGCCCCGTGGAGGCCCATAAAGTTAGCCCTCCTGGGTTGTGCGGACATCCTCTGAGTTTATCCTAAGATGTTTTCTCCCTCACAGCCTTGGTCCTTGTCAGGGATTCCTTTCGGGGCTGGAGTTGCCCAAAGAACTGTTCTAAATTGGGGCTGGCGGGCGGGCGGGGTGGGGAGGAGAAAGTTTACAGCCCGTGTGCTCTTCCTGAACAGGAAGTTTAGCCTCAGAAATGGGACCCAGTATGCTCCTTTCACAAATGTGTTTGGTCTGCTCAAATATAGATCATTTGGTTTTTCGAAACACGTTTGTCACAGGGGTACTTTTTCTCCATTTCCGGATAACTTAACAACATATCACCTGATAGAACAGGTGTTTCTGCGGGACGACTAGCCAGACACATCTTCATGCGTACGTATGTCTTTTTCGAGAAAAGCGCTCCTAGAAAAGCACTCATAGCATGCGGTTTTGCCAGCTTCTCCTCCAACTCCCTTTCTGGCCGCCCTGAAGAAGCGCTGTTGGCTGTAAACATTCGTTTTGAAAGCGAGTTCTTTCCCATATTTCAATTTACTGACGTCCCAGTTAAAAGTCCAGGACTGGCAGTAACCCTGGGAATGGAATCTTGGTGGTGGCTGCATCCCAGTTGTGTGAGTTAAGTCCCTTACTGTTGAGCTCCTACAGAGTTCTCAAATTGCTGGGACGCGTGAGCCATGTTTTCTGCAGAGTGAGGGTAAATACTTCGTTTTCACAGGACAGACTTTGCTTGGTGCTGAGTTCTGAGCTTTAAAGTTGGTCCTATTACTTGTTTGAAATCAGGAATCCCAGGGATAATATATGTTTCTCTTCTGGAATTCTGATTTCAGTGCTTCCTGTTCATGTCCTAAGTTACGGGGAAACAAACCTCTTTTGTGGAGCTGTTTTTTTTTGTTTTTGTTTTTGTTTTGTGTTATGTTTTCCTGATGGTTTGGTTAACCAGTATATGTTATATGTCTTAAACATTGTAGATTCACAAGCAGTTTGGATCACTGAAGTAAGTTCTTAGGTAATTGTATATTAAGGTATTAGGCCTTTGCTACTTAAGTTTTAAGTTTTTTGTTATGGATCTTCTCCCATGACCATTTGGGAAAATCCTACTTTGTTAATAGAGTGCACCTGGCAGAAAACTTTGTACATGTTATACTGTCATTTTTTCTTTCTTTTGGTGGTGGTAGGGGACCTGGTATTGAACTCAAGACCTTGTGCTTGCCAGGAAGGCACTTATTCTTCTGAGCTATCGCCCTGGACCTGTACATGTTATACTGAACATGTTTTGAAAAAGTCTTTTGCAGACCAATTATAATTATGAGTGAAAATATATGTAATTTAGTATTTTGTTTTTCATGGAAAATAGCTTTTAAACAAAGTGATGACTTTCATTTTATTGAACTTTGTTTTTATCTTTGCCTGAAGTCTTTTTTTTCTTTTTTTGCGGAACCAGGGATTGAACTCAGACCCTTGCGCTTGCCAGGGAAGCACTTATTCTAACTGAGCCATCTCCCCGGGCCCTTGTTTGAAGTCTTTAAAATTGGGTGGGGGAGATGGCTCTGTAGAATAAGGGCTTGCCTGGCCAGTGCAAGGGCCGGAGTTCAATCCCTGGTCCCGCCAAAAAAAAAAAAGTCTTTAAACTGCGGGCCATATATAATCATGTCTACATAAAGAACATGTACTTACCTAAAAAAATTAGTATGGTGAAAGAAATGAATATAAAGTACCCTTATTATAATTGTCAGAGTTCAAGTATCCTTTATATCATTCTCAATTATGCATAATTTTAAATATGATTGCAAGTAGTTATTTAGTAACTTTAATCAAATATTAGGTATTCTGGATGTCCTATGGTTGTTTAAAGTATGCACTAACATTAGAAAAAGTGGATTCTCGCTTTACTTCTTACATAAACTGCCTCCATGTTAAATGATCAAGAAATTTAATTTATATGTGACTTTCTTAGTGATAATAGTGTACAATCTTACTTTTGACTTTTAAGGAATATATTTTACAGATGTAGAAAGGGCACTGTTGATGTTAACCATATTTCAAGTATTGTTAGCCCATAATTTGCTGAGTTTTATTCAGCAACAGTTGAATTGAGTACTACTAATTGCTGAGATTTTCTTTAGTATTAGGTTTTGCAATTCATAACACTGTCAAGGCTTTCACTGCTGAATTTCTACAGAACATTTTATAGTTACCACACTTTTTAGTAAAGGTTTAAATTCTCATAGCTAGTTCTTCTTAAATGTGCTTTTTGATTTTAGCTTAAGAAAAATTAAATGAAATGATACAAATAGTCTTTGATTAAAAAAAATCCAGAAATTTTAGGGTAAAACAGGTGTCTGTAAGGTATAGTCTCCAAAAGTTTCATGTACAAGTGAGATTTTTCTCCTTACAGAGCTATTACATAGTATCTATGCATTTTTATTTCATGATTGCTGTAAAAGTGTACTGCTGAATGTTTTCAATTCACACCACTCCCCCAGAATCAATGCAAGGATTAACCATGAAGTAGAAATTAGTTTTCAACCCACTTTCAAAGGGCTGATTTGTTTTTCTCTCACTGGACAAGTGCCTACTCTTAAAAATGTTTTTTGAAGAAGATATACTAGATCAAAGGGAATTTTGATATGCCTGATAAAAATTTGTGTGTTGCATTTTACAAGAAACCGATATTCTGTTCATCAGATCACTGTTGCAAGAAATAAGGAATAAGGAGTGGCTATAAAGAATTCTTTTGCATGGTTTCCCTACAGCAGATTTTTTAATGAATCATTCAATCTATCTTTTCTACTAGAAATACCAGTAAAACTTGAAGTGTGTATAAAAGCAGAGAAAGGAAGTTTATAAAGTAACAGTAGTTTTAGTGGCCTTCTTGGACAGATGGCTTCAAAGGGCTCTGAAGCTGGAGCTATTGTCTTATTTACTTTGAAATGGAGTTTAGTTGTAAGAAAGAACAGTTGTTAATTTGCAAAGACAGATGAAAATGTTGTTTTAGAGTCAGTACTACGGTTGCCCAGAGCTCTTTACTTTTTCGAAAGTCTTTTTGAAACAAAAAACAAAAAACAAAAACAAGGCTGGGGAAATAGCTCAGTAGAATAAGTGCTTACCTGGCAAGCACAAGGGCCTGAGTTCAACCCTCAGTTCCGCCAAAAAAAAAAAAAAAAAAAGAATGACTTTTTGGGGAAGCACCTCCCAAAACAAATTATTTTGTCATTATCCTGGTATTTTAATTATCTTTCTGACTATTGGCCTATGAGAATATAAACTCTGAGTATTAAAACCCAAAACTTTGTACATGTTATACTTAACATGTTTAAAAAAGTCTTTTGCAGACCAGTTATTATAGCTGAGAGCCTAGAACAGTAGCTGAAATTTGGAGATATTCGTCATTGATTCGTTGATTAGAAAAGCCTTCTATCCATGTATTTATGATTTCTCATATTTATAATCTGTTTTTCCCTCAGATTGTCATCTGCACTCACAGTGAAACTGCACTGGATGATTCACTGAAGCGTTTTGTAATACAAAGCAGTTGATGAACCATAGTAGATCCTCAATAAATGTGTTGACTAGAGGAACCAGTAAACCAGTAATACTCTATTAATAAGATTATCTTTTTTTAGGTGAATGGCATAGATGTTGTTCAGATTTACTTTGAAAGAATCAAGTATGTGAACCCAATGATGAATGGAATTGTGAAGCACAGGTGAGCTCTTTGACATCCCCAACGACACAGCTCATCCTATGCTTTTGGACACGTCTTTCCTGTTATTACAATGGCTTTTCGTTCTCCAGGTTGTTGCATTACCACTGTTTCTGTACAGAATTCTATTTGACACCTGTGGCATTTTTGTGGTTTTATGATTATCTTTTTCCCACCAAATATGACCTTGATTGCAAGGAATTTGATTTGTGTGTGTGTGTGTGTGTGTGTGTGTGTGTGTGCGCGTGCGTGCGCATGCTTCTGTGTAACAAGGCATCACTTGAAATATGGTAGACATCACTGAAGATTTGTTTAAATAACATTTTGTAATGACATGGAGTGCTAGCACCTCCTTCTCATCAGTCTAGCATATATGTGGCTTTTGTATATCAGGCATCATACAACTGTGTGAAGGCAGCTGTGAAATATTAGCAAAAATTCTTACTCATAGGTCTGTGCTGTCCTAGACATATACTTCCTGATGGCAGTATACTATCTCTGAAATGTATTTGCTGAAATGTTGAACTTAAATTTGACCATGCCTGTAGACAATGCCTAATGTATAAAAAATACAGAAGACAGAGAAATATATTACTGTGCATCATAGATCCAAGGTCAACAGAATCCTGATTTCTGGAATCACTTCAGGACAGATGACCCAGTTTCTTCAGTAAATAAAAAGCAAGAATGGAACAAAGAGATGGAGAATGAACCTATAAATTGAAAGAGATTTAAACATATTATCATTTATAGGATCAAATTTGGATCCTAATTTGGCCAAATTGTAAAGAGAATTTATATGAAAC